AGGGTCTCTCCTCGCGACAGGTCTCTCCTCGCGACAGGTGCCTCTCACGTCGCGAGCAGGTGGGGGCCCATCCTCGTTCCTCCACCCTCCCTCCCCGTTGCGGCACTTCCGCATGTTCTGTGGCGGCTCCTCGTCGGGTGCCCGGGTGGGGCGCTCCTGATGCTGGGGCTTCCGGCGCTGCTGCTGACGCCACGCTCGGCTGCGCACAGGAGCGCCCCTGGGCGAGCATGGTCGCCCGCGCGCGGCTTCGGGGGGGCCAGGCGGGGGCCCACATCCGAGCGCGCAGGGGGATGCTGGGGGGATCCCGTGGGCCCGCGCCAGAGGTCACTCTGGCGAAGGGTCGCTCTCACGCGTAGCCGGCCAAAACTCCAGGCCAGGGCAAAGAGGGGGGTCGTGACCCTCTCGCCGCGGACCCGCCTGCCAGTGGTCGCGCTGCTCGCCGCCCCGAGCTGTTCGCTTCCGCGGGCCTCTGCAGGGGCCAGGGGCGAAGGCAACCTCACGCGGACGAGCGAGGCTGGCCGTGCCGTGAGGCTGCTGCTTGCCTCGGTGCAGTGCGTCGGGTCACGACTGTCTGCTCCCGCACACCTTGCCCACCACGCCGCCGGTGGCGGCGTCCGCGGCACGGGTCAGGGTCGCGGACCCAGACCTCCGACGTCGTGGCTTCTTCACGACGTCGACCCCCAGATGTCTGGACCCCTTCCCAGAGACCGGTTTTTCATCCTGAGTCGTTGTTTGATGATCCCGAGGCCCGGGAAGGGCCCCCAGAGGCCGAGAATGGCGAAAAACCTCGCGTCGCGATCTTTTCACAACCCGAGGGGGTCTGGGCACCATATCCATCACGCCGCCTGGTGGCGGCGTCCGCGGCACGGGTCAAGGCCGTGGACGCGAAGACCATCCTCGGACTGGCGGCTCCACAGTCAAAACCTGCAGTAAGGACGCGCTGCAAGGACGCGAGACCCTTGGACGGTCCTTGGACGCCCCAGTTGGAGCTTTTCTAGCGGCGCACTGCCGAACATGTCTCAGGACGCATGGGTGCCCTTGGGAAGGCCACCCGTCCTTACTATGGATGTCCACTGTAGTCCATCGGGTGCTCCTGCTGATCGTGCGGTCCGCCCTCCTCCTGCTTCCTGGCTCTGACCTGGGCCGGGTCTTACGAAGAAGCGCGACGAGGGCAGGGGGCACGGAGGGGGCAGGGAACCGAGGAAAGGGGCCTCCTCCGCCCTCTTCCCCCCCCTCCCTCGCAGAGAGCCTCACTCCCCACATCTCCTGCCCCCTTGCTCCGCATGTCAGCAAGCTGTGCCCGTGATGTGGATCGAGGGGCCGAGGAGGCCGCCAAGGACAAGGGCGGGCGCATCGGAGGAGGGCCCCTCGCTGTGGGCAAGACAGCTCTGGGCCTCTGCGGGGAGGACGTGACGCATGCGGGCCCCCTGCACCCCCGCGAGGGCCTGCCCGGGGCGCCCCCCCGGGGGGCCGTGGCGGAGGCCCCGCGGCAGGCGGCTCGGCCCGAGCCCCGCCAGGGGCCGAAGGGTTTTTTTTTTGCAATCCTTCGTTTTTTTGCAATCCTTCGTTCAAGGGGGGCGAGGGTGAGGCTGTGGAGGGAGACGCCGGCGGCACGGCGTGCCCCTCGTGTGGGAGCCGGGCCGCGGGCCTGCCGGCGGCGGGAGCGGAGAGGGATGCCGCCGCGGAGGGGCGGGGCCCCGCCGCGGCGGCGAGGGCCCCGCGGCGGGGAAGCCAAGGGGGTGCTGCTGCCGCCGCTCCTCGGGGAGCAAGAAGTGGCAGAAGCATGAAACCTCGGAGGCCCGCGCGGAGCTCCGAGGTTTTATGTTCATGCCACTTCTTCTTGTTCCCCTAACTTGAAGGGGCCCTGGGACACACAAATAAATACACACAAATAAAAATATTCCCCATATTTTCCCATATTTTTCTTGGTTTTTGTCTTCCCGCCCAATTCCCATATTTTCCCATATTTTCTGGTGAAACGGCGATTAATTGTGTCTGTGTGTTTTTTCCCCTCCTGATAACTCCCCGGACCTCTCCCGGGGCGCCCTCTGGCCAGGACTTCGGGGCGAACCCAGGCGGTGACGGCGGGGACTTCCCAGGAGGCCCTCGAGGGGGGAAGAAAAGCGGGCGAGGGGCAGCGGTGTGGGTGCGCCTCGTCCCCCATCTGGCGAGGGGCGGCCCAGGAGGGCGAGAACGAGGCCAGGGCATCGATATCGGTGCCGTCTCCTCTCCGCCTCTATCTTCCTCGAGCTTATGTCCCCCCCCCGCCTCCTCCTCCTCCTCCTCCTCCTCCTCCTCCTCCTCCTCCTCCTCCTCCTCCTCCTCCTCTGAGGGGAAGCCCTGCTAACACATTCCGCCCTGCGTCCAATGCTCGCGAAGGCTTCGCGATGCGGGGCCTAAGGAGTCCAGGTTGCATGCAAATTCGCACGACCAAGCCAAGCAGATCGGGTGATCAACATTTCGCTTGGCAGGGATAGCCGATCCTACGAATGGGCATGGCGGTCCACATGGCGGACGGGGCTACTACGAACCAGGCTGGTCGATTGTCTGGCGGTGGGCGCCGTAGTAGGTGATGCCGTAAGTGGAGTTGTCACTGAGTGTCTCGAGAAACTTTGGGGCGGCTCTGAAATAGTCTGTCGGGTAGTGAGAGAAGACAACCAGCGACTTCTGGGTCGATTTCTTCGCGCGGTCGTAGAAGAGATCCAGACTCCTCTGCGTACGATTCTTCATGTAGTCCAGGCACTTGAAAGCGCATGCGGTCTTGAAGCAATCTTGGAACATGAGCTCGTCCGCTGAATTCTCGTCCTTGCTAGTTTCGAAAGCTGTGTGTACTAACATCACATTCGGTGAGAGCGCCTATCATACTACGATGAAGATGGTGGCAGGGTAGCGGCAATGGCAGCAGCAGCAGGAGAGTACCGGTGACTGTCTGATAACCCTACTCAAACTACCATACAAGTAGATATGTGCCCTGCTTGGTTCATAACATCAAAACGAGCAACGCCACTGATGACGTTAGTGAGCATAAACTGGGCCACCAACGTTGCGGACGCGAATGAGGAAGCGACCAGGTGAAGAGGGCAAGAGATGCAAAGGTCCCAACTCCTGCCAGGGGGCTGGGACGTCGCTACACTCAACCGTCACCGAAAAACAGCCACATGCTGCCACGCCGACGCGCCTCGAGTGGTGCATCTGAAACGACCGCCTGAAGCTGCCCGGACCAAAACCACAAGCGGGCACCAGCGCCTGTCCGCAGCACCGAGTTGCCAAGTGCAGCTGGCGCGCCGCGCGGGGGCCGAACGAGGGAGCCAGACTCCGCGAGGCCAGCTACAGCCGCTTTGCGCCTGACGTGAGAGGAGACCCGCCGAGGAGGAATCCGCGGCGGGCCGCGCCGTGCCGGATGACGCCTGTACGGGCGGGCAAACGAGAAGACTCGGCCGCGGAGGGAGAGAGAGAGAGGATGAGGAGGAGGAGGAGGAGGGGGAGGAGGGGAGGAGGAGGAGGAGGAGGAGGAGGAGGAGGAGGAGGAGGAGGTGGAGGAGGAGGAGGAGGAGGAAGGGAGGGCGCCCCGCGCAGGCGGTGACCGTCTTCCAGCGCAGCAGCAGGCGGCCTGAGGCTCGCACAGCTCCACGCGCACTTGGGCGAGGATCAAAAACGGGCCTCGCGCGACGTGGCACGGCGACCCAACGCGGCGGCCTGCGTGGGCCGCCGCCGCGGCACGCCACATCGGAGACGAGGGCACTTGCGCGCGACCTTACGCGGGCGGCTTACGCGCCGATGTCGGCGCACACGACCCCGTTCTGCTGCGTCGCACACCGGCGGCACGGCGTGGGGGGGCCGACGTCGGGGTGCGAAGCAGCAGACCTGCCAACGCAGGAGGAGGGGGAGGGGGAGGAGGGGGAGGAGGAGGAGGAGGGGAGGAGGAGGGGGAGTGGAGGAGGAGGGAGGAGGAGGGAGGAGGAGGAGGAGGAGGAGGAGGAGGAGGAGGAGGAGGAGGTCTTGCGCGTGTGTTTTTGTTTGCTCGGTTGCCCAGAATGTGCAGAGGGAGGTTGGCGACCGAAGGGTCGGACCTACCGTAGGGTCCGTAGGTAGAGGACGAGGTGAGGAAGAGAAAGCGCTCTTTTCCCCTCGCGCCCGACGAAAGACGGGCGCAATGCCAAATCCAATACCGGAGCCGAGAGGATAGCAGGATAGATGGATAGAAGGAGGAGAGGAACGGTCTTCACACACAGGATGGTCCTCGAGGGCCCTCGACGATAAAATTATCCCAGTGCGACCATACCTAGGAGTTGGAGCCCCTAGGAAAGCAGCATTAGTAGTAACAGTTAAGCTAAGCTAAAGCGAAGCTAAAGCTAAGCTAAAGCTAAGCTAAAGCTAAGCTAAAGCTAAGCTAAAGCTAAGCTGAAGCTAAGCTAAAGCTAAGCTAAAGCTAACACTAAGCTAAAGCTAAGCTAAAGCTGAACTGAAGCCTAAGCTAAAACTAAGCTAAAGCTAAGCTAAGCCTAAAGCTAACGCTAAGCTAAAGCTGAGCTAAAGCTAAGCTGAAGCTAAGCTGAAGCTAAGCTAAAGCTAAGCTAAAGCTAAGCTACGGCTAAGCTAAAGCTAAGGTGAAGCTAAGCTAAAGCTAAGCTGAAGCTAAGCTAAAGCTAAGCTAACACTGAGCTAAAGCTAAGCTAAAGCTATGCTAAAGCTAAGCTACAGCTGAGCTACAGCTAAGCTAAAGCTAAGCTAAAGCTAAGCTAAATCTAAGCTATAGCTAAGCTACACTAAGCTGAGGCTAAGCTAAAGCTAAGCTAAAGCTAAGCTAAAGCTAAGCTAACACTAAGCTGAAGCTAAGCTAAAGCTACGCTGAAGCTAAGCTGACACTAAGCTAAGGTTAAGCTAAAGCTAAGCTGAAGCTAAGCTAAAGCTAAGCTAAAGCTAAGCTAAAGCTAAGCTAAATCTAAGCTAAAGCTAAGCTAAAGCTAAAGCTAAAGCTAAGCTAAAGCTAAGCTAAAGCTAAGCTAAAGCTAAGCTAAAGCTAATCTAAAGATAAGCTAAAGCTAAGCTGAAGCTAAGCTAAAAAGCTGAAGCTAAGCTAAAGCTAAGCTAGAGCTAAGCTAGAGCTAAGCTAACACTAAGCTAAAGCTAAGCTAAAGCTAAACTAACGCTAAGCTAAAGCTAAGCTAAAGCTAAGCTAAAGCTAAGCTAAAGCTAAGCTAACACAAAGCTAAAGCTAAGCTATCACTAAGCTGAAGCTAAGCTAAAGCTAAGCTAAAGCTGAGCTAAAGCTAAGTTAACACTAAGCTGAAGCTAAGCTAAAGCTAAGCTAAAGCTAAGCTAAATCTAAACTAACACTAAGCTAAAGCTAAGCTAAAGCTAAGCTAAAGCTAAAGCTAAAGCTAAAGCTAAGCTAAAGCTAAAGCTAAGGCTAAAGCTGCGGGGCGGGGACTGGGGGAACCGCCCGGGGCGGTTAGCACTGCCCAGCCCTTTAAGCTAAGAGAGTAAGAACCCTTCTAGGCAGAGCCTAGGTAGGGAAAAAACAATACAAAATGCACACGTCCGAGCGATGCCAAGCAGCTTGACACCGCGCGGAGGCGGGGAGAGGCCCGGGGCGGCCGCGGAGAGAGGGGAGGCCGCGGGCGGGCGAGGCGCTCGCGGGACGTGCAATCCTCTGTTCGCGCCGGCGAGGGGCGCCTCGAGAGGGAGGGCCCACAGGGAGGTCGCATGAAGTCGGGCGTGTCCCTCTACAGGAGGACAATTCCCAAATAGTAAAAAAAAACAGTCTGGGGACTTGCTTTACTACCTTTGGCAATTGTTTTGACTTTTGTTTGACTATTCTTATTCTGCTTCACGAAATCCGCCTGTAGGGGGACATGCCCGACCTAAAGGTCGCAGGCAGATCGCGGGATCAGCGCACAGGGCCGCAAGGAGGCCGCGGCTTAGCTGCCCCGATGAGCCACGCGCAGCACGTGGCGCACTGATACGGAAATCAACACGCAGACTGAAAACGCGTGCCCGACGCGATGCGTTCGCCGAAGCGTGGGCCAATACGTTGAGCCAACACGCAGCGCACTGACACGGATGTCTTGAAGCACGGTGCGTGCTGCGCTCCCAAACGGGCGTGTCGAGGCAGCTAGGGGCCGCGGTGGGCAGCAAGCGGGTCGGTCGCTGGCGTGCGCGGGGCGGGGAGGGGGTCGCTCCAGGAAGAGGGCCGCAACAGCGATTGGCGGCGCGCCAGAAGGGGGTGGGATCTTCCACGAAGGCCACCTCGCTCGTCGCATCCCCATTTGGGCGACACCCAAGCTGGAAGGAGCCCAGGGACACACAAATAAATACACACGAATCCAACGATTCCCTACACACACACACATATATATATATGCTCTATATGTATATATGTATAACCTGTAGTCTGAGTTTTTGTCCCTCACCACTTCCCATCGTTTCCTCTATTTTCATGGGGGTCGATTATGTATTCATTGTGTCTGTGCGTTTTTCCCCTTCTGAAAGCTTCCCTACCGACCATGCGCTCAAGAGACGCCCTACGACCGCTCGGCTCGCACAGCCCGACGCAGGAGAGAACGCACAACGTGGCCGAAAACGACGGCACGGTCGCGCTGGCCCAAGACGATGATGATTGTGATGGCGCTCCTGCATTGCACACCGCGCCTCCCACGACGCATCGACACATAAAAATCTACATGTAACGTCGACGGTCTGAATCCCGATGCGGCGGTGAGGGCCTTGGGTAAAAAACGGGATAAAGAAACCAAGGTCTGAAATCCGGCGGACCACCCATTGAGGCTTGGCCATGGATGCCATCGCCGCCCTCATCAGATAAATATTAATCCCAGGTCTGACGCCTCCTGGTCACATTCCTTAACCAACGCCCTCGACCGAGCTTGACGCGAATCTGAGAACTCTCCCGCTACGGAGCGAGAAGTTTGCAGGCTCTACCTTGCAGGCTCCAAGGCGACGGCGGCGCCCTGCCCTGGATGCCCATGCTAGCTGCACGCCGAATGTGGCCTTAAGGCAAGAGCGGTCGTTCGTGCGTGGCTTGCCAACCGTTAAGTCCGATGCGGCAACACAGCCAAGCTGCCACCAAAAGGAACGCCGAAGAAGGAACGACCCCCTTGTTGGTTCCAAAACCGCCTGGGTGCACGAGGAGCTTTGGGGGAACAACCGCGGACGGTCCTCAGGAACAGCGAGCCTTTTCCGAACCCGGATTGGCCCTTGACGAACTCAGCATCTTGGCTGCAGCGGCCTGCGCGCTTGGTCTTGGCCCCCGAAAGCCGCGCACCAAGGGCCACTTCGGCGAAGAGTCACTCTTGCGATTCGCCGACGCAAGCAGGCCCCCAAATGCCTTCGGACGCCTCCTACGTAGCCAATATCTTTGCCGCCGCCGATGCTAGCGCAGGGGGGCTGCCCCTCCTATTCCTGCGAATGCCCCGTGCTGCTCCGGGACCTCCTCCCCTCATCGCACCCGTCATTGTCATCACATGTTTTCCAAAAGGGTTTTGGGTTTGGGGGGCGTCGTCTGGGACCCGTGGAGCTTCAGGACGAGGCGGACGAAAAAGAGGAGGAGGACAGGGCAGGACATCCGCACCAAGGGGCGCAACGACAGAACACCTACGTTGGTGTCTTACGCACTTCTGCCAAAATCCCCTGCGATCGGTTGTGCGAAAGCCCTGCCTTCTCACTAGGGCCCGCAAGGAGCATACCACGTTGCTCAATGACTGAGCTCCGAGGTGGCCCCGTGAGAGAGGCTCGCTACCTTACGTCCACGATTCCCTGCAGGTCAATGCGGGGGAACCGGCTGGTGG